GATACGCGTAACCGGCCGTCTTCACGCGCTGGAAAATCTCGCTTGCGTAACGACGCTTGCGTGAAACCGCACGTGTAGACCGCAAAAAGTACGAAGCATGCTTTTTCTCGCATACCGAGCGGTATGCGAGCTCACGCTTGCTTTCAACTGTCATTTTTGTTGTTTGACAGCTATGTTCTCATTTCGCAGAATTCTTTAGAGTACCAAATTCGTTTATTTTCCGTTTCTTGCGTCTTTTTCTCCCTTAATGCAGATTTTCTAATTTTCTCAAACTTTTAAGAGTCTGCAAGGCTTGAACCTTCTTTTGCGACATTTTACAAATGAAAGAGTATGCTGTCAAATGCCCAGTCAACAAAACTCTATCTCGCTTGCAAGAGAAAAAAGCAGAACGCAAGCAAGATTTTCAAGCATGTGAAGACGGCCGGTAAAGGCCGGTCCACATAAAACCTTCGCGTTGGCCATGATTCAATAATACAAGGTTAGCTAATTATTGACAGCTGCGGTTTGACACTCTCTTACAAAAGGTTGCATTTTCGAAGGACGGAGAAAGGGGAAGACTGAAATATCTTGGTGCGAAAATGGTAGTAGAACAGTACGCAAAGTAGGCAATTAGTAGTGAAACTCCTTTTGTAAATTCTAATGTATTTGCAGGAAATCTGGTATTTTAAACGAAATGTTGAACGTAATAATGATATATCTACGTGAATTACGTAATGTATGTGCTATTTAGCTGTATAAAAACTGCAAAATGACTCAAAATTAAAATAAGACTACTTTGAGATTGATGTAAACATCCAATTTAAAAACAGTTTATGTTTTCATCAGTTAAATATGGTTCATATACATATACATATAAACATATTGCGAAAAATCTTATACTTCTATTTCACACCAAAGCTACACTGTTTCCATGTAAATTTGCAAAGGAGCAACACTGTGCCACTGCTAAGGGAGCGGTGCGAGAGAGACAACTGTCAGTTTATCGAACCTTGTATTATTGAATCATGGTCGTTGGCGTTGGTTTGAAAGCATGAACGAAAGACACAAGATCACGTAAGAACAAGAGAGTGAAAAAAGTCGATTTTTTTAGCGGGTTCTACGCCAACTTGTTTCACTGGAAAACGAGCGAAAAGTAAATAAAGCAAAGAAAACAACGAAAACCAAAATTATTGTCAGCCACATTAAACGCACAATTTAGGTAAAATGATGCAACAAAATGCTTTAAAATGTGTTGTCATGTTGAATTAACTTTTCTTTACTTGAATAAAAGTGTAAAATAGTGGTGCTTGTGATGTAAACAAACGCTCAGCTGACGAACCCGCTTCCCCAAACTTTTTTCTCAAAACCAGTTACAAATACAACGTCGCCTTCTTACGTGATCTTGTATTTTTGGTTCATGGTTTGAAAGCATGATTCAGGGCCGGTTGTTCAATGTCTGGTTATCACTACTTGCCGGTTAAACATCATTATCGACGTTTTCGACATCATGCATATAACATGTGATCGATAAAGCAGTCGTTGTATTTAACCAGAGCTTCTACCTCCGATTAGTGCTAATCAGACACTGAACAACCGGCCCTCAATAATACAAGGATAGATAATTATTGACAGCCGCGGTTTGACACTCCCTTACAAAAGGGTGCATTTACGAAGGACAGAGAAAGAAGAAGAAAGCAATCCCTTGTTG